GGCTTTGAACCTCGAGGTCAGCAGTTTGAAACCTCCAGCCACCCCTGGGGAGACGGATCAGACAGTCTGGGCGCTTGGTTAAGCTCTGCCCTGTGGGGTCGCCGTGATTCGATGGGAGTGAGACGGAGTTGAAATGAACTCGAGGGCAAGTTTGCTTGGTTTTGTTCCCCACCCACACTGAGATGACTAGGAGAAAAGTTACCTGGTGATCTACTTCAAAACCTTGAAGACCGGTCAATGGGGATTGTGCACCAGGAGTCGGGCGCCTTTAAGGCCACTCATACTTTGAAGCCAAGCCTCGCAGAGGGCACAGTGTGCCCGCAGATCCCAGCAGTTAGACACATCATGCAAGTGTTGCCTGGCCTTAACTAGCACGCAGTAGGCGCTCCAGTAAGGGCACACCTTCCTCGCGCAGACACAAGAGCGCCCTCCAGACCAGCGAGTCCCAGCGGCCAGCCCAGACTGAAACACGTAGAAGCCCGGGCGGACAGGGCGGGGTCTATGCAAATAGCCCGCGCGGAGGCGGCGGATTGGCTGGCGCGGTTGGGGCGGGGCGGGGCGCCGAGGGCCCAGTGCAGGCGGGGCGCGGCGGAGAGCCGCGGAGCCCGAGCCTGGACTAGCGGCGGCTGGTCATCGGGGCGATGCGTGCGCTTGGGGTCCTGCTGTCCCTCGGCTGCCTGCAGCTCGGCTCAGGTACGCAGGATGCGAGGAGGGCGCCCTACCCGGGCTGCCTGGACCCCGACCCCTCCGGGAAACCCAGGGAGCGGGGATAAGGATGAGCGTCATTGTAGACTTTATTCGCTCCAGGGGTAGACAGCCACCAGGTCCTGTGCAGGTGCTGCACACGCAGGGATCGGTATTAATAATAGTGACAATAAGAACAAGAATAGCAAACGGTCATTGTGTTTCTCCACCGCCCGTGGGCAGCAGTCCTGTGACAGGCGCTGGGAGGGCACAGGCAAGGACTGCGGCATAGCAGATGGGCCTAGGCTGGAGAGGGAGCAGGGGCCACCTGCACGGACCGCCTGGCGTCAATGTGTGCGCGCGGATCCAGAGCAGGTGGCAAAGGGACTTGCAGAGAGTGAGGCTGGACTTCACTGTCGCTTCAGAGAGGTCCAGGCCCAGAGGGCAGTGGCCAGAGCAGGCATGGTACAGTGAGGGAGTCGATCACAGCTTAGGGGCCGTGGGCGGGTCATGGGGCCTTGAGTAGGGTTCAGGTGAAGAGGGTGGGGGATGGCATGGCTGGGCTGATGGGGGCAGAGGTGCTTTGAGGTAGGGGTGTGGATGGGAGCAGCTGGGCTGGCCTGACCCCTTTCTAGCAGATAGTTGGGTGGCTTAGGGCTACTGCTTCCCCCTGAGACCAGCTCCCAAGGTGTCCCCTGTGCCTGGGATACAGCAGGAGCTCAAGAACAGCACACCGCCATGCTGGCGTTTGCCTGGGCAGACGTGCCTGTGAGGGTGTACGTTTCCGCCAGGCTCTCAGCACCCATCCTCATTGCCCCCTCCAGCCGTGGACCTCCAGCCCCAGCTGGCCAGTGTGACTTTTGCCACCAACAACCCCACGCTCACCACCGTGGCCCTGGAGAAGCCACTCTGCATGTTTGACAGCTCTGCCGCCCTGGTTGGTAACTACGAGGTCTACCTGTATGTCCTGGCCGAGTCAGGTAAGGAGCCAGCAGGTGCTCAAGAACTGCCTGCCCACAGCCACGTGGGCAGTGTGAATGGGCAGAGGGGCCTTGGGGTACAGATGGTACCATCCATCTCTTGGCCAGGGGCTGCTCCTGTCCACAGGGAAGGAGGCAGGGAGGGATGGGGGTGGGAAGGGGATGCCCTACACCTGCAGGTGCAGACCCCTCTCAGCACACCAGCACACACCAGTGGCTGATCTGCCATAGCCCTGGGCCAAGTGCTAGGGCCACACACCTGTCCTGCCCTGGAGGGGCATCTCTTGGTGAAGATAATAGCGCCTGTTTTGTCGTTAGCTGCCAGCAAGTCAATTCTTACTCACAGCCTTAGGGATAATATTTGTAACCACACTGCAAGTGGGAAGGTCTGGTGGCACCGAAGGTATGCATTGGGTTGCTGACTGCAAGGCCAGCAGTTTGAAGCCACCCACTGCTCCATGGGAGATAGATGAAGTTTCCTACTCCTTTAAAGAATTACAGTCTTGGAAACTCACGGGGGCAGTTCTAAGCTGTCCTATAGGGTCACCAAGAGTCAGCATCGACTTGATGGCAGTGAGTTTTTGAGTTTTAAGGGGCTTATAACTATTAACAAGCTGATGTTACATCAACTCTGGCCCAAGAGGACCCCCACCTGTGTCAGAGCAGAACCTCGTCCATAGGATGTCCAGCGACTGTGTTCTTGGAAATAGATCACCAGGCCTTTATTCCGAGGTGCCCCTGGGTGGACTGGAGCCTCTATCCGTTGGGTTAGCAGCTGAGCACGATCCCAATTGCAGAGACGGGCATCAGGGCCCCGAGGCCTAGACTACCTCACGGGGACTCCCAGAGCTGGAATTTGAATCCAGATCTCTCAGGTGGTCCTGCAACTCAAGTCCTTTCCCAGGTGGTCCCAGATCAGTGTTTGCAATGGCAATCCCTGTGCACAACTGGACCTTGAAAAGAAGTACGGCTAAATCGCCTTTAAAATGAGTTGTGTAACCACAATCAGTTCCAGTCCTCTCTCCCCACTCATGCATTCATTGTTTCCTCACAAAATCCCCTCACCCTCCCTATCTTCCACCCCCCCATCCCTACATCCCCTATAAACCCTTTCATCAGTTATTATCTCTATGTATCTACCCCTGAGCTTCACAGATTGGGAAACCCAACAGAAGTGATAAAAATCAGAAAACAAAATAGTGGTAAGGTTAAAATAATAATAAGATAGATGTACAAATAATGAGTCAGAGGGAAGAGTCACCATCAATATTTAAAAAGAAGGATGGCGAGACTTTGTCTTACACACGTTGGACGTGTTGTCAGGAGAGCCCTGACAGAGGCCTGGAAACGGACATCATGCTTGGTAGAGTGGAGTGGCAGTGAAGGAGGTGGAGATGGATGGGCACAGTGGCTGCATTGATGAGCTCAGGCATAGGAACAGTGTGAGGATGGCACAGGACCGCGTATTTTTCCGTTTTGTTGTGCAGAGGGTTGTTATGGGTTGGAGCTGACTCAATGGCATCTCACAACAGCACCCTTAAATCAGTGCCATCACCACGCCCATCTTTCCCCTTGCTCCTGGTAACCACTAGTAAACTTCGCTCTCTATCATTTGCCTTTTATTCTCTCGTTAGGTAAGTCCTAAATCATTTTGTATTTGGTTTTTGTGTATGGTGTGAGGCAGGGGTCCCATTTTGTTTTTCTGCATGCGGAAATCCAATTTCCCCAGCACTAGTTATTGGGCAGCTTCTTCTTTCCCCCACCAAATGGACTTAAGACCCTTGTGGAAAATCGGTTGACCAGGTATGTGTGGGTTTATGTCTGGACTCTCCATTCTATTCCATAGTTCTGTGTGTCTATGGTTATACCAGTGGCAGCCTGCTTTGCTCACTGTGGCTGTACAAACCAGCTCACTGTCATTCAGTCCACTTCAGCTCTAAGCGACCCTATGGAACAGAATAAAACCATTCTGATAGGTTTCTAAGCCTGTAAGTCTTTCCAGGAGTAGACAACCTCATCTTTCTCCCAAAGAACAGCTGGTGGTTTTGAACTGCTGACCTTGTGCTTAGCAATCCACTATGCCACCAGGGCTACGGTATGCTTTCAAATCAGGACATGTGAGTCCTCCTACTTCATTCTTCTCTTGCAGCATTGCTTCAACTAGTCATAGACTCCGGCCCTCCATGTAAAGTTGAGGCTTGGTTTCTCTATTAGGGTTAGGGAGTGTGTGAAGACAGACCGAGGGAGTGGCTCCTTACTGAGGCAGCCAGGACCTCACTTCCGCATTGCCCTTGCAGCCAGCTCCGGGAACGTCTCTGTGCAGGATGGCAGCGGTGTCCCCCTGAGCGCCACGTTCAGGCAAACGGAGGGCGGGCGGACAGGCCCCTACAAGGCTGCGGCTTTTGACCTGCAGCCCTGCGGTGATCTGCCCAGCCTGGAAGCCATCGGGGATGTGTCTCAGGCCTCGGAGATCCTGAATGCGTACCTGGTCAGGGTGGGTGGCAACCGCACCTGCTTATTGGACCCCAACTTCCAGGGCCTCTGCAACCCACCCCTGTCGGCGGCTACAGAATACAGGTGGGTCTGAACAGCTGTGAGGGCAGCCTGGAGTGGGCACCTGAGCTACTGTAATGCTCTGTCATTGCCACCTTGAAAGGTTGAACCAGTTGGGGACAAGGAGGCCCATTTTCATTGCCTGGGGCCCTGGCGGTGATGTAGTCTCACCATATGTGTCTCTGTCCCCCAGGCAAACCCTTCACTTTAGAGAAAGGTGACTGTTCCAAAGAGGGGCAGGCCCCTGAGCTGAAGCCCTGAGGACTGTCTTCCCCACTCCCGCACTCCCTGTTGTTCCCCACCCCCACCTCAGCGGCCAATTCATCTCCACACATAGTTCCTGAGGTTTTCCTCTGTGAGGAATCACACTGCATTAAGGAGTCCTGTTGCCATAGTACTTAAGCACTCAACTGCTAGCTGAAGGGTTAGTGGTTCAAACCCACCAGCCTCCCTGCAAGAGAAAGATGAGGCAATCTGCTTCCCGTGAAGACTAAAAAACATAAACCCGCTAACTCACTGCCACCGAGTCAATTCTGATTCATAATGACCAGATAGGGCAGGGTAGAGCTGCCTCTGTGGGCTTCCAAGACAGTAACTCTTTACAGGAGTAGAAAGCCTCATCTTTCTCCCTCGGAGCGGCTGGCGGTTTCAGACTGCTGACCTTCCAGGTAGCAGCACAATTCATAACTCACTGTGCCGCCATGGCAACCTGGGAGGCCCAGGCTCAGGTGTTTGAGTTTCCTGCATTTAGAGTGTAATCCTTGTCCAGGGGCAGCGGGAGTGGGAAGGATATTATTTCTGTGTTGTTGTTCAGGTCCTCATTATGCTACCAAGCATTTGGCGTGGAATGAAAGCCAACCCACCGAACCCACTCCCATCGAGTCGATTCCAACTCAGCCCTCCTATAGGACAGAGTAGAACTGCTCCCTGGGGTTTCCAAGACTAAATCTGTATAGGAGCAGACAGCCTCATCTTTCTCCCATGGGGCAGAGCATGGATTTGAACTGCTGCCCTTGCGGTGAGCAGCCCAATTGGTAACTTGTGGATCCCCAGAGCCTCTCTGTCTGGGTAAGGTGGAAGGTAAAAATGCTAGGAGAACAAAAGTATTAATACTCAACAAGCAGACACTGTCCTCCCCAGGCTAAATATATGATGGGGGTACAGGGGCTCCGAGGGGAGAGGGGAGCGGCGGGCCCTGGTTCTGAAGGCTTCCTGGGTGAGGAGGGGTCTAGGCTGGGGAAAGGGTCCAGGTGGTCAACCATGTGCAGCAGCCATGCTGAGGTCCAGCATCACCCTGATGGTACCACCTGCCCCGCCCCCCCCATTCCTCCAGCTGGGGCGCAGGGCAGAAGTCACCCCCACTCTGTCCCCTTCCAGGTTCAAGTACGTCCTGGTCAATATGTCCACAGGCTTGGTACAGGACCAGACCCTCTGGTCGGACCCCATCCGTACCAGCCGGCGTAAGTGTCTGGGGAGAGGAGGGCAGGGTGGGGGCACCAGCAGAGGAACTGGTGAAGACAGAGGTGGTGCAGACGACATGGGGACAAAGACTCACAAAGTCAGGCATGGAAGTCTCCCCAACAAAACCCTCAGCCCACTGGGCCCCCACATCAAACGCACCTGGAAACAGCTCAGCCCAGAGCGCCTTTCTCCCTCCCGCCCTCTCTTTCCTGAGGATCCAGGCGCTCTCCAGAGCAGGTGGGAGACCTGGAGTCCAAGCCCACTGGGCCTTCCATTCTTTAGGGAACACTGTCACCCGACCAATCCACTGCCATTGTAACCTCTCCAAACACCCAGCAGCACCAAGTCCTCCTGTAGAAAAGGCCACCACAGAATGGGGACCAGAGGTGATAAGGG